AACCGGAATAATTTTTCTACTTTTATCGTTAAGAGAACAGGAGGTCTCACATCTTGCTCAGAAGCAGGATCTTGAACTCCTGCCAAGCTTAAATTCCTACCACCCTCAGCTCCCAGAGTGGTAGAGCATACCATGAGCCTACTTGCTGGGCAAGATGCTGCTTATTTAAATTATGCTTAATTTCCTGCACATAACGTAATGTAACGCATGAATCATATGCACTACGGTTTTTATAGCTTCCGACACTAGTGCTATAAGAGATATAAACCACACAATAATTTTCTCTGACCTTTCCAAATATGCACGTGGCCAGAGGGAGCCCTGGACTTCGGACATTTCTGCTAACAAGGATCCCAAGGGCAAAAGGTCTGGTCGCTTCACCCCTTTTCTACTGCTGACGATCACAAAGCATGTTTGTGTAGACCGCCCTGAGCGGCAAGGGGAAAGGGGCTAGACAGAGAGCCTGGCTCCCAATGGCTCTTTGCCACCCATTTGAACTAGAACAAAACATGGGCAACTGACTAGTTCTTCTGGAACCATTTTTTCTGATCTGTAAACTGAGCAGATAGCAGTCTCTTCTTCCCTAGAGAGGTGTCGTAGAGAATAAAGAACAGCCGGCCAGGCGCAGGTCGGGCTCACGCTGTAATCTAGCAGCTCGGGACGGCCGAGGCGGGCGGATCGCTGCAAGGTCAGGAGTTCAAAACCAGCCTGAGCAAGAGCGAGACCCATCTCTACTATAAATAGATAGAAGTTACATTGGGCCAACTAAAAATATAATCAGAAGAAAATTAGCGCTGGGCCATTGGTGGCACAGTTCCTGTAGTCCCAGCTACTCCGGGAGGCTGAGGCAGGAGCGCTTGACCCAGGAGTCTGAGTTGCTGTGAGCTACGCTGACGGCCATGGCAACTCCACTCTAGCCTGGCGACAAAGTGAGACCTGTCTCAAAAAAAATATAATAAATAAAAAAAATTAAAAAAGCCAGACCTTGACGTCAATAAATACTCAGCTTGCGGTGGGCACACAGTGACACCCACTGCATGGAAGACTCTGAGGCAATGAGAAGGGACAAGCAGTTCATGTACATTGCACAGAGCAAATCGTCTGGAAGACTCGTTGTTTCGTGGCCTTTCTATTGGCCACCTATGGAAGGACGACATTTTTGTGCATACGATGGGGCCCATTTACAGTGCGTACTAGTACGAGGGCAAAACTAATGTAAAATGGACAGAAATCAGACTAGCGGTTGACCGCTGGTGTATGTGTTGTGGGCGGTGTTGAATTAAACAGGAAACGGGGGCAGTCAAAAGGGAGCTAGGTGGTAGAACATTCTATACCCTTCTTTGTTTTGTTTGTCCTCTGGTCGCCTGGGTACAAGAGCAGTAGCTCACTGTAACCTCGACTCTTGGGCTCAAGTGATTCTCCCCGCCTCCAGCCTCCAATTACAAGCAGGTGTGGGCCACCACACCCAGCCAATTTTTAAAAAAAATTTTGTTGGAGAGATGGAGTTCGCTGGTTCCCCGCTGGTGTCAGACTCCTGGCCTTCGTAGAAGCCTCCACCTCTTTCCTTTTTAAATTGGGATGTGACTGACATACTATAAAAGGACAATATAACAGTCAACAGTTAGGTAAGTTTTGGCAATGTCTACATGCCAATCGTTAACCTACCCCTCCGTTGGCATCAACAGAATTAGGGTAGGGGGGAGCAGGGTGGCTCTCACCTGTAACCTGAGCAGCTTTGAAGAGGCTGAGGTTGGAGGATCGCTAAGGTCCAGGAGTTCAAGACCACCCTGAGCAAGAGTGAGACCCTGTCTCCTACAAAAAATAGAAAAATTAGCCGGCGTGTGGCGCTACACCTGGTAGTCCCAGCTACCGGGAGGCTCAGGCAGCGAGGATCACCTTGACCCAGGAATTTGGGCTATACTCCTACCACCTGACCTGGGAGGAACGAATTGAGACTGCCATCCTCCCTAAAAAAATAAAAAAGGGAAATAAAAACAAAAGGTTTAGTTTTAGGTCCAGAGTTCAAGTCCAATGCCCTGGGCAGAGGCAGGAGCCCAGCTAGGAAGAGGCATGGGGGGGAGGGGCCAAAAAAGGATGGAGATGGAAACGGATGGAGAATAATAGAGAAGATTTAGAATAATGCACAGGGTGGTAACTGTAATACAAGGAGGGCTCACCCATGGTCCCCAGAGGTGGCCACACAGCGGGAACCCAGGTGACAAGGAGAATAGATGGGTCAAAAATAGAAAAGGGAAGAGAGAAGAGACTCGACTCAGAGCTTGGGTCGGGCTGTGGTCACAGCCCGGTGATTCTGTCCGCCCGCTAGCATCTGCGCAGGGTGTCGCCTGACATGTCCCCTGCACCACTGGACTAGTCGCGTGAATTGGATCTGCTCAGAGGAGGAATGACTCAGCTTCTCGCTGCTGACAACCAGGGGGTGGGTACTAAAGCAATTGGATTCAGCGCTCAGGATAAATAAAAGGGAATCTCCAGGCAAGGGGTGGTGCTGGCAATAACGTCCTTCGAGGGAGGGGGCTTCTATCACCGCCACTGGTGGACCACAATTTTTGGTGACCACTATCCATTGCTGCTCCGTCTCCCAACCTCTGGTTTGCTCAAGGGCCTGTCCTACCCACCAGAATCCGCCGCTGGGCGAGTTCTAGATGTGTCATAACAGGGCTGAGGACCCTTTTCTCTGGCAGGTCCAGAGGTGCCAACGCCGGTAGCAAACTGTTTGTCCTTCTTATTGCTGCGCGCGTGTTTCACTGGATGGATATGTCACCCGTGTGTCTGTTTGTAAAGCTGATTGTTTGTTTATGTATATGTGAAGGATCCATACGGGCGGTCCCTTTTCCCAGTTCTGTTCTTACAATTCTCCACAACACTCCCAGGAAGTGACGAATGCTATTTTGCTCCCATTATTACAGATTCAAGAAATGAGGCCCTAGAAGGATTAAGTGAGCTCCTTCCAAGTCCTTCAGTTAATATGACTTTGGAGAGCCAACTTAAAGCCACCTCGTCCCACATGCCTCTCAGGCTAACTCTATAGAAATGTGTTCGAGGACACGACCTACCAGGAGACCCGCCCCCATCCTACCTATTTCTGTTAGAAACAGGCGACCTCACAGGTGACCCGACTCAAGACAGATGTTTAAAAAGTAGATTTTACCTGGCACAAGCGTAGCCAGTACAGCATTCGCCTGCTAATAAGCCCCGCAGCTGGGCAAGCAGCGGACAAAGTTGTGACAGTGACAGCACTTGTCCCCAGAGCCTGTGGGTCCCCACCAGCAAACTGAGGCAGGGCTCAGAATAGTCTCTTCTTGCAACACCGCACGGCCCAAAGAAACAACTTTTACTTATCTTTCAGCAGGCTTGGGTTTTTTCACATTAGATCCATTGTGCATTTCAGCCAAAAGCAAATCAGAGCAGGGCCCTCGACGTCCCGCCGCCCCGCTCGTGCTGCTGCTGCTAAAATGACATCACGCATTGCGCCCCTCTCTCAACAGAACAACAAACACAACAAAAAAAACCTCTATCAACTCCAAGGTCGATCTTCCTCGTGCCACAGTGACAAGTCAGGACAGGTTCACTGACGCAGGGCACCACAACTTTCTGCATTTTCCCCCAACACCACACAGGTGTGGATGCTTTCGATGCTTTCTTTCCCATGCACTGAAGACAGTCTGGTAAGTCGGGAAATCAACATTGGTGGCTCAGAGTCATTTCCTTAAAAAAAAAAAAAAGGAAAAAGAAAAGAAATCC